TTCCTCTAAAGACAATTCCTTGCTCTCTGCTCCCATCCGCCCTCCCCCTGAGCAGCTGTAGATAAATGTTGATTTCAGTCCACACCTTTCTCTATTTTCTCTAATCCTGGAGTCTAATTTGTGGCATTTCCTAATAGTTTTGTTAATAGAAAATGTGTAATTATAATTACCAAATTTCTAAAGCATCGCATATGCAAAATAATGCGTTTGATGTCACAGAAATTTACGAATTATATATTAACATCAGGAAATCTGCTAAGAAACACTCAATTGATAGCTTCAGCAGCACCATTTCTCATTATGAAGTTACATTTACTGTTAACTTTTGAAGTTGCAAACAACATTTACTAAAGTTGGACCTTTTTTCCCTTGGCGTTACCTTGTAGTATATTCATTTGCTGAATGCAGACCAATCAATGTATGGTGTAATTATATCTGACTTGTAGATTTTCAGTTATCTGGAGGGTGAATCATCATTTCTCTAGAGTGCATGGCACACGTTGAAAGTTGCATCATGTAACCAGAACACAACTAAAAATATAAAACCACCTCAGTACAGGGGTATCTGCTGCTTATCTATCATACCCCGATGACCTTCAGAGGGGGTCAAGGGGATCCCTATACAGAAATAGTTCTCCCCTACAATTCAGACCCAGTGGTGATCAATATGACATATGTGTGTGTGTGTGTGTTTGACTCAGGTACTCACAGGCAAACACAAAATGATGGAACTTAAATTGTGCTTCTTCATTTACTGTCTGGTGCTCTGAGGATAAATGTCACACTGGACAACCCACCATCAGCACCCTTTTCTGAATAAGACAAATAGTTTCAACGAAATACCGTATAAAACTTTTTGTCAATGTCGATATATGAACAGTGAGTGCCAATGACTTACTTCAACAACAAGTTACGTTCATCTAGCGCCTTTCATGTCGGGAGGACATCTCAAGGGGCTGGACAATGCGGGGTTTGCATCTGAGCTGTGGGTTGGGATCAGAGAGGGATGGAGGATAAGCAGGGGTGTACAAGCTTAGTAGACTTATTGAGGTAATTTATTTAGTTAAACAGGTTAAGGGAAGGAAGCAGAGGTTTCGTTAAACTAAAGAAACGTTAAACTGACATAAGGAAGTTATTCTGTAGATTTCCTCTCAGAGGTCTGTGCTGGGATCCCTTCTGTTCCTGGTATACGTAAATGACCTGAATTCACACCCGTGTAAGGTAATTAAAATGCAAATGGCACCAAGCTGGACTTTGGAATCAGCAGACAGTCAAAAGCTTACATAAAGAATTCACCAAGATACTGTGTATAGAAACTGAAATAACGTACTCTATAGATTAAACTAGACATGGAGGTTGAAAAAGACCATGGCAGTCAGTTGACGCATTACTTACCATGTACAGCAGTGAGAAGTAATAAACAGGATGCTGGGATATATTTCTAAATGAGTTCAGATCCCCAGAAGTCATGTTAAGTTATACAGTGCTCTGGTCAGAGTATACCCAAGAACTGTGTGAAGGTTCTGGCACAATGCCCCAGAAGCAGAACGATGGAGGACAATGAGGTTGATCGCAAGTGTTGGAGGGGTAAGCAAGAGAAATTACCAGATAAGGTAGGGTCCTTTAACCTTGAAAAGGACGTGCCAGAGAGGACCTTCTTGAGGTATACAAGATGTTAAATGGCATTGAGAAAGTAAGCCCATATCAACATTTATACGTTCACCAAGAGGACAATTTTAGAACACTCACCAGTAAGTTTATTTAACCCATATAAGGTAATAATCAACAGCTGCGTTGAGTTACCAGGAAGGGTGACAGGATTCATATTCAAGAAACAGATGAATACTCTGATGAGAGAGGATAAGGTGGGTATTCTGGAAGAGATCAAACAGGCCAAAGTGCCTTCTTCAACCAAACCTCACTTGTGAAATTGGGTAGATCTCCTTCCTTGGCATCACTGAGGACTCGCTACAGATTGTCTTAGATTAAGTAGGTTCTGCTCCCTGAAACTGCCAGTAAATCAGATGCTCAGCCTAATTCTACTGATATGGATCCAATGCAACAACCCTCTTGCTGAGAGTCTGACAAACTAGATTTGGAGAACCAGTTTTCAGTCAATCAAAGCACTGACTTTTAAGTGACGTATTCCTGGCTTCACGATTGGAGCAAGGGTGGTGGAATTGGTAGGAGAAATGTATGTTTGAAAAGGAAACAGAATAGACGAGAAATAGTACACTTTGTATTGTATTTTATAATAGCAATAGAAGGGCTTTTTTAATATCTCAGTAGTGGTATAACAGTGTAATATTCAGTAATTCTTGTCCGCAGAATATATAAGCTTATTGGGAGAAGCTAGCTCTCTCTGGGGTAAACAGGCTAGTCATGCCAGCTCAGGAAACTTTTTGAGACAGTATCCCCAAGGAAGTGATCAGTACTGACACAACCTTGTGCCCAGGATCCATGATAATGTTCCCTTTAGAATTCCATGTTCAGTGTATGAGTTGTCATAAAAAGCAATTTAATACTCACGGCTTTAATTCAATCTTTTTTTAAAAAAAGAAATAAAAATGGACAAGATGAAAGAAGACTGTTAATTGTATGAAATTCAATGTAACAGTTTCATTTTTTCTTAAAAAAAATCTTTCTTGATGGAGCCATTACGAGGGATTGAAGGGCTAACATTGCAATTTCTTGAAGGAAGGATAAAATGTTGTGAGCTGCACATCAAATGGACACATTCGTAAATGCTGAAAATGGCCCATTTAAGAAATAACTTGAGGTACTGAGAAGATCGTAAGGTGGGTATTGTGGAAGGACGAGTTCAAACAGGCTGAAGAGCTATCTTCATCTGAACCTCTCTTGTAAATACTTTGGTCGGTTCATGAAACTTGAAAAAGAATGCATTAACGGCCAATAGAATCACAATGCAATTTAGAAGCACAGTCTGCCAGACTTTTTGATTTAGACCACAGAAACAAGGCTCTTTTAAAAAATAAACACACAACTCAATTTTGCTACTGTAAACAGTTGATTAGTTGTTAAATGTATGGGTTCTGAGCTCTGAATTCTGCCTAAACTGATTTACCATAAACAATTCCTAAAATAGACACCTCCTTGTCTTCAGCATTAGGCTTCAATATGTTGGCTGCTGAATGTCTGAATATAAGACCATCACAAAAGCAATTCCACAACAAGAACTACACTGCACAGTGTACGCAGATGTGGTGCCTCTAAACTCTTGCAAAATTTACTCCCATGCAAAAAAAAACACACACACCCATTCTTTTCAATTAATTTTTAGGATAAAATATCAGGTGGTAAAATTAATCTGTTCCAGAATCAGTTTGAAATGAAAGGAAAACAAAATACCACAGCACCTTTCGATTATGAACAGAAATACCTCTTCTGATGTCTACAACGAACTTGTCACAATATAATACCAAAATGAAATTAGGTTGTCTGGGTATTGTGTGATACAACACTGAGGAGCTAAGTAGTCTCCTGTTAATCACCTGATAACAGTTTTGCTTACAACAGGGTTCAGTTTAGGGNAAAAAAAGTACAGGTTATTATATAATCAATTAAGCAAATATGCAAACTGTTTGCTGCTAAACTATGGATACTAAGCATAAAATTCCTGAAGCATAAAATTGCTGTTTGAGCAGTGGTTCGAAACGCACAAGCTTAATCATATATTATCATAACTTACATTTCCTTTTAGGAACCTGAAAGTGTTGTCCAACAATGGTGAAATCACACTTTGCTCCAGCAGAAAATAAAAAGTGTGTTGAAATAAAATCTACAATAAGGTGAAAACTAACACTTGCAAACCATGTGTCAGACGAAGGGAAATTTGCTTATTGTCTAAAAACCTTTTAATATTTAAACAGCGAAGCCAGAATACATCAATTTTATCGTGCTCAAGATTTTCCAGACGTGTTCAAGAGTTGTATCTTAACTTATCTTGGAATTATTATGATTTGTGCACAAAACAACCTACTCCAGTTACTGAGACCAACTCCTGACAGAGTCATCCTGCCTGTACATATAATGGAGATAAGATCCAGATACTTATTTATAACTCTTAACATGTTACAGTGCATTTGGGAAAAGTCTTTTCTCTCTTTCAGAGTAATTTATGTTATTTTTAACTCCAGCTTTAAATGCCTGCTTTTTAAATGCCTGCCTCAGTCACTTAAGACTCTGTCATTGTGCCTGTACAAGCTGCCACTCTGAGCAGCACTTCACCATTCATTGTATTGCACTCTTAACAGTACATCACACCAGCACAGGCCTCATACAACTCATGTCCTTCCTTACCCTCCACCCCCAATTGTATTTGTGCTCATCAAAGTGGGGGCTTAGGGAGGTGGACCATTATGCCACCTTGCCAAGACTGCATCAAGCTCTCCTAAGGTGAGATGCATGCAGCGCTCCCTCCATGCGTTTTAATATTCACCTTGTTTGCAAATTTGCAGGGATATCTGCTTCCAATTCCATTTCCTCCAATTGTTGCTTTGGTCTCCGCGCCCCTTCCCAACCAAAGTGAACCTGCTGAAAATGAAACCACCAGATGAGGGCTAATTTGTGCAAATCTGCTTTAACTCGATTTGACAAGCCTGAGTACCAGAGGTGAAAGGGCAGAAGTCAGCACCAATGTCCCTGGACAGCGGTAAATGAGTTAGCAGGGAGGGTCACCCTTATGCACGGAGACCACAGTTCAATACAGTAGTAGCCAGAGATGTGGCCGGGATTTTCCGATCTTAGATAGAATGCCATGGGGGTGTGTGGGTGGTACTGTGGGGGAGGAGAGGGAAGATCACCTTTCCTTCAGGAAAGGGATGGAGAAGTGAAAGGGAGAGTGGAGTTGTGCTGCTCCTGTGTGTTCAGTCCCTGACAGCCAGTGGCTGAGTGGCGTTGACAGAACCAGAGTCATGATTCCGATGACGTTACACGGGGAAGAGAACTCTTACTTGCAAGAAAAAATACAAAAATAAAAATACAAATAAATAAAATACAAAATTATAACTATCTGGAAAACAATTTATACATACAGTCATATCGATTCCGAGGCCCATGCAGTTGCAACCACCAACTTTAGCATTTGAACCCCTTCCTGAAGAGGCTGGGTTGTTTGTTGAACATAAATCTATTCTTTTATAATCAGAGTTGCCAACGGTGGACACTGAATATCACAAGCAGAATTTATAAAATTTGGTATTGGCCATTCTACACCAATCCCTTTCATAACCATCGTTACAGCAACAATTAGCTATCATAGTTTGGCGAGGGAGGCTCAGATGAAACTGACCTTCGCTCTTAGGATAACTTTCTTTTTTTTAAACATTTAGTGCGCTGTGCACCATGCAGTAAAGCAAAAAAATAATCCCCCGGGATAGACACAGTGCAAGTGGCAGTTTTGACCGTCACTCTTTTTTTGTTGACAATAATAACAAATCTTCCCTGTTCAAAGGCACCTTTAAAGCAGTGCCGGAGATCTCTATAAATTTAATTTACATCAAATAGACTTCAAATTATTCTTTTTTTTTTACAAAGAAGTACAAAGAAGGTGATATTGCTCAAGTGTGAAAATCTAACCGTCTAAATTCTTAACAAAGTTCCTGTAATGTTCTGCAGAAGGCAATGGGAATGTTGTAACCAGGTTCTCTGTACAATACAGATGATGATTTCCAGTATACTAATGATAAAAATACAGGATGCAGGAGTCTGCTTATAGTACAGATCTTAGATGAAGAGTTCTTGATGTGTACTGTGTTACGCTGAACATTCAGTGGATTTCCTGAGTTGGTGTGTGACATGGGCCACCAAGCTTGCTGAAAAACCGTTTGCACGCTATTAGGTCCTTCAAGGTAAAATGAGAGGCTGCCTGACCATCCCTGTTGAGAATGAAGGCCAAAATCATAACAACAATAACATTAATAATCATAGTAAAACAACAGTGTTACCACTGTCATGTTCCCTGCATAAGCAGGATCTAGCACCATTGTGAGGGTAACCCTCAGCCGCCGTAGGAGTAATACCTGTACAGAGTATTGCTGCAGTTTAAGACTGTTGTAGTGTGCATTAAAGAGAAAGACATCAACAATTGTAAGTTGCCTGCACCTTGACCGCGTGAACCTCCTGCTTGCTTTAAGGAAAACCAAACAAAAACAAATAAAGGCTACTCGATCACTGGTTGCAGTCTTTCCTTGGCTGTTCGTCAGTCGTACATTTATCAGTCATTTCCTGGCAGAAATCCACTGTCACTGTTTGACTGCACTGTTCCAAGGAGGGCTTCCTTTCAGAACAAGTTCCTTGGTCGAGCAGTCCCTGGGCTTTTTCCGACGTGCACCCCTCTGCACTGTGGCTTGGTGACCACTGAGCTCCGAGGTGGGAATCTTCCTGCTCTGAGCAGCACAGCACCCCTTCCCCCACACACAGTGCCTTCAACGGCTTTTGTTCAAATTCGGCCGAGGGTGAGGTGTCGCTGCCAGCGGTCGCTGCCTGATCAAGAGGCCTGAGGGCTGGGCAGTACCTGTGCAGGGACTGGATCTGCTCTGAGCTGAGTTGGACGTCACCGCAGACTTCTTGGCAAAGACACGAGAAATTGTCCCATAGTTCTCCCATACAAGCCTTCAGCTGATTGCGTTCTGTCAATAACTTTTCCTTTTCACACAACTGTGAGAAAGACAGAAAGAGTGTATGTAATTCAGGCTCTGGATAGCACTCGCTATAGACGCTACAAAAAACTGCAAATTCTACTGAATGTAAAAACAATACAATTCACATTTTTATGGGAGCACATCTCAAGAATGAACAACAACTTGTATTTATATAGTGCCCTTCATGTGTAGGAGGGTCTTGGAATGCTTAAAAGAGCTTGACACCAAGCCAGAGGAGTGGAGGAGGGAGGGAGGGACTGGGGGGAAGAGGGAAAATTACTGTAGACATGGTTGAAGAGGAAGGTTTTCAGGTATGATCTGAAGATGGATAAGATGTGGGCAAGGCACAGGGATTGAGTTCCAGAGTTTCGGTAGGTAACTGCAGCACATTTATTTCTGATCTGAAACTAGTTCATTAGCATTGCAAATAATGGACCAGTTTTAGTTTGTGAGAGAGACTGCCGAAGCCATATTTCCAGCCAATGCCCCTGAATCATCTTCCTGCTGCAAAAGTACAATATTTTATAATTTTGCACTGGAGTGAACTGCTCTAATGGTGTGCTTGAAAACTCATCGGATCTGGTACGCATGGCCTTTGCTGCAGCACGCCGAGTGGAGATCATTTAATAAATCGCACCGTTACGATACGATACGATAGTTACAATACAAACTCTCACTGGGGTTATTTTCCATGCAGTGCTGGGATGTGAAATATTGTCGGGATCAAAAATGAATTATTAAAAAATGTTGTTTCAGTTAATTTAGGTATGTTTATGCTTGTTAGCAAATGTTGAGATAACTTGTAGAATTACAATCTTGATTACAAAATGTTGTTTTAATTAAATTGAGCTGAATTGCAGAATTTCTAACTGAGGTATCATGGGGAAGCTGGTATAATACTGGACAAAATAGTATGAAAAGATGTCAATATACTGTGTATCGTATTATGAAGAATTGGCTAAGAATGAAGAGGTGAATTTGTTATTGCATATGTCGTCTGCTATGTTGTGAATTGATTGCAGTTGTATAGACCTGTAGTTTAATCAAAGTCGACCCAAGTTAATTAAAATAATCAGGTGGGTGAAAAAGTGCTGACATCCACCGATCAACCTGAAGTAGGTAACCACGCTATAAAGAAGTATAACTGAGCTACGCTTGGGCAGATAGAGTTGGTTTGAGAATGAGTGCATTGTTCACTCATCCAGAAAGGCAGAACTGTATACCAAGGTTCTGAGATTTAAGTCACATCAGAAGAAAAAAGAACAGATGTTGACTGTACATAACGATACAAGTACATAACTGTAAGAGATTCAATGGTCGCTATCATCAGCGTTCTCAAACCAAGAGAATTTTGTGTGCTGCCTATGAACTCTGATACTATCATCACAGAGACGCACTACACCCGGGTATAATAGCATAATATTGCTTATTGCAAATTTGAGTATTGTAAACCCTGCTTATTGAATTAATGTGAAATCTTTTTGCCTCAGTAATTAAACGAGCTGTTAACAAGTGACTTTGTTCTGTTCTCAGGTTGCTGATTCTATACTTTGGCCAATTCCACTGCTGGCTGCAGCTTGGAACCAGACACAATCCCAACCATTTTGTTGTGATAACGAAAGGTGACAGGAAGAAAAGATGAGAACAAAACGCAAAATACTGCAGATGCTGGAATGAAAACAAAAACAGAAGTCGCTGGGAACACTCAGCAGGTCAGGCAGCATCTATAGAGAAAGGAAAGTGAGTCAACGTTTTGGGTCCACGACCCTTTGCCAGAACTGGACCCTTCGTCCTATTCTGACGAAGGGTCGTGGACCCGAAATGTTGACTCACTTTCCTTTTTCCATGGATGCTGCCTAACCTGCTGAGTGTTCCCAGCGACTTGTGTTTTTGTTTTCCGAAGAGATGAGAAACTTGACTCAAAAAAACAGGCTTAATTTTAAATGTGGCACACTGTTCCACTCACCAACTTGCGAATTTCAAACTCCAAGTTCTGAATGCAGTCCAGTTTTCTCTTGCGGCAACGCTGGGCTGCAATCCTATTCTTACTGCGACGCCGGATATCGTGGATGAACTCTAGCTGCTCTGAGGTTAACTTGTGCATTTTGATCATCATTTGGAAATCATTTCTTGGAAGATCTGTGATTTGATCTATTGGAAAGGGGAGCTTGACCTGGAGGAAAAAGAAAAGTGATTCAATCAATTACATTTCTATTATGTGGTTATTCCTTATGGTAATTTTTAATCATTGAAAGAAAATGAGATTAATTAGAGATTAGTGGAGTCCTGTAGCTCAGTGGTTAGAGCACTCGCTTTGCAAGCGAGAGACCTGAGTTCAATTCCAGGCAGGGCGAAACCTTGGGCAAGTTTCCTTACTCCACATGCCTAATAATAATCCCTCCAAAACCAAAAACAATAATAAAATTGGTCATTTTCAATCTACGACTGTTTGTGGGACATTGCTGTGCGCAAATGGCTGCCGCGTTTGCCCACAAATTTACAGTCAATTCACTTTACAGTGTGTTCTGTGAAACGCTTTGGGACGTCCTACCGATGTGAAAAGCGCTATATCAAATGCAAGGATTATTATTATTATTATTAATGTTATCTTAAGGCATATAAAGTGATGTTGTACCTATACTGTGGCAGATATCCACAAAATACCTTCCCTTCAGCAAGATACGTGAAATTTAAATGTATCGCACCACTTCTCCATTGTCAAGTTCACAATTACATCACGACCACACTGTCAGAATTTAATTCAATGAACAACATTTGTGCTCCCAGTGTCAAGAGATTGCATTCTATAAAGAACCAAATCAGCTGAAAATATCACTCTTGAAAATGGTCATCTCAACCCCAGTGGAAGAAACCAAGTGAAGATGCTGGGACATACAGCAGCGAAAGCAGGAAAGGACAGAATCTTGAAGGTGGAGCAGGGAGGAGAGACAGTGGAGAAGGATGACAGTCAAAGGTGACAGAGAGGTCGAGAAGACGAGAAGTCAGAAAGCACTGGTTATAAATGGAGAGAATGTCATTGTCAACCTTGACTGTGACAATCTCGGTGCAGGAGGAGGGAGTGATGAGAGGGGAAGGAGTGAAACTGGGAGGTGACGACTTGTTCCAACACCTTGGAATGGAAGGACTGATTGGAAATAGGATGGCAATTGGAGAACATGGAGACATCCCGTGAGGGTTTCTTGAGGAATGGGGTAATGATGGCTGATCAACAGTTTTCATTATTATACTGGGTTCCACATAGGATAAACGCCTTGAAGTATTTAAGATAAGGGAGCTGGTGAGTGCTTGCTGAAGGAAAGGTACCTTGTGGCTATCTGCCACAGAATAGGTACAATATCACTTCATATGCCTTAAGATAGAGGTTCTCCATTATTCTCAGAACCTTTGTAACCAACAAATATTATTTTTGTTTTGTAACAATAGGGTCTACAGTGCAGGTTGGGCTTCAAACACACAATTATATAATTATAATAATACTAATAGTCCTTGCATTTGATATTATGATTTACCACATCGGAAGGATGTCTCAAAGCCCTACATGAGATTTACTGGGAAATGGGAGTATCTCTGAATTTGTAGACAAATGCGGCAGCACAACTGCACACAGCAATGTCCAAGAGCCAGGAACGAGTGAACAATTTAATTGGGAGATTATTGACCAGGCCTCCAGGAGAAACTCCATTCTCTTTTTGAATAGTGTCATGGGATCTTTAATGACCATCTGAACAGGCAGATTTAACATCTCATTTGAAAGATAGCACCTCCAACAATGCAACACACCCCTGGTGTTGCATTGGAGTGCCATCTTAGACAATGTGATTCCAAATCCCAATTATAATAATAATCCTTGCATTTGATATAGCGCTTTTCACGTCTTCTAGACGTCCCAAAGCGCTTCACAGAATATACTGCAAAGTGAATTGACTGTATATTTGTGGGCGAACGCGGCAGCCAATTGCGCACAGCAATGTCCCACAAACAGTCATGGATTGAAAAATAACCAATTTATTATTGTTTTTGTTTTTTTGGAGGGATTATTATTAGGCGTGTGGAGTAAGGAAACTTGCCCAAGGTTTCGCCCTCTGCCTGGAATTGAACTCAGTACTCTCACTTGCAAAGCGAGTGCTCTAACCACTGAGCTACAGGACTCCACTGTGGGATTAACCACAAACAAAAAAAATCACAGGTGATTCTGCAATCTTTTTCATTGGTTACTGACAAATAATGGCACAAGTATATCTTTGAACATGGTTAGCCCATAAGATATGAGCTCAACCAACCTTTTAAGTCCTAATGAAGTTAATACCATAAGAGTAACAACCTGAAGTGTTTGTGACAGCAGGGATACCCTGACAAGATTAGCACCTGGAATACACCTTTTACCTAACAGGAAGGACATCATAACCAGTCATTATGGAAAGGCATCTAACAGGCGGGTCTTCCAAATAACACTACCCCAGTGAAGGGTGCTATATAAATGCAAGTTGTTATTGTCATTGATAAGGATTTTCGTTTGCAAAAACTCCAGTACCTACAATAACAACAAGATTACATTTGTGTAGCGCCTTTCACGTCGGGAGGATGTCCCATGGCGCTGTCTATCAGTACCGAGACAGGTGAGCTCATTCTAATGGGATGTGGAATTAAGAACGAGAAATATTGGAGACTTCTTGTTGATACATTGAGGGTAAGTGCTGTGTTGAGGTTAGGGTTACCACATAATGGTGGCTATTTTATTCACTAACTGAAAGAAAGGAATTGATTGGCTATTCATCTTGTTGCTTATTCTCATATAGTACATTGCTAAAGTAGGTTAGGTATCACATTTGGCTACAGAACAACAGATACTACTTGGAAAAGGGTAACTCATTGTATGAAGCACATTGAGAAGGTTCAACATGATAAACTGTCAGATCAAATCCAAGTGGATTCTGAATGTAAAATTCAATTGGACTTATGAAATTAAATAACAACAACTTACATTTATACTTACAAATGGTAAGCATAGTGCAGACAAATTCACAAATGTACTGAAATGGAGTAGAATAGCACTTAGACTATGCAAATTTACATTTATATAGCATATTTCACATTGGAAGGACGTCCGAAGGCATTGCCACTTTGCTTACGTTAGCATGTTCTGAATCATTCAAAGTCCCTTAGCTGGATTGCATGAGACAGAATAACCTCCAGGAAGAGTTGCCTCTAATCCTATGCTGGAGTATGCAATGCTATGCTGACAATGGGACCTAAAACGTGCTATTATTTTTATTAGCACAGTCCCATTTCTTTTAAAAAGTACCCAGACTTTATTTTTTCATGGCACTTTTGAAATGATCCTGATTTACATGTGATTCTATGAAAACACTCTCTGTACAACTGCAACAGAATTCAGGGGAACATGTTGAACGTAGTAGATTTACTCATTGCAAACAAGGGCCAAGCGTGTAATGGAAATGTTAGTAGCTTCCAGCCCAACATAGGGAACATGATAACAATAGGCGTTCTTGTTTCATTACAGCAATATTTTTAGAGTGGACCATGCCTCTGGAATCATCCGAAGGGAACTGGAACACAAAGCGCAATGCGGATTTGGACCTGCAGATGGCACTAACAGAACGAGTTGCCATTAATACCGGGTCAGACGAAGAATGAAAGTTAAGAACTTTTGAACATCTCTCACTCAGACTGTCGTATCGGCAAGACAGTTTCATAAGCTCACTACATCAGTTACACTTGGAAAACAGTTCACAGTGGGTGTATTTCTCCAGATCAAATTGTGCTATCAGCCTACGTACTTATCAGTAATAATGTGCTACTGTTGTGGAAAGCATGTGTATTCAGTACTATAAAAATAAACACAGATCGTGGCTTAAAATATATTCTAACTGAATCGCTGTTCCAAGTAATTAAAATAATAATCCTTGCATTTGATGTAGTGCCTCATCACATTGTCAAAACAACTCAACGTACTTCATATGATTTACTGTAAAGTGTAATGACTATGTCATTTTTAGGGGAACGTGGCAGTGAATATGCGCACAGCGATGTCTCACAGACAATCATGAACTAAAATGACCATGCTTGAGCCTTGGAGAACAGTTTTAAGATTCTTAACACAATCACAGTATAGATTAACAGTTCAGTCACTAGATATAACATTTGATAAACCTCTCCAGGGCTAGATGGCTGAGTCACAGGATAGCCCCAACCTCAAACTCTGAACAAATCTGAGGTTCGATGAAATAAATTAACAGTTAGAAAATGTGATAATTTTCTACCTACCATTGAACGCTGGTGGTTATCCTCTTATTGTGGGTCAATTTATTGATCTTTGGCAGGGAGTGCAGTATTATTTCCTATTTGATTTCCCATTATGGGGTCAAGATTCCTGCATTTGGTATTATCATCCATGATAAAAATAACACTGAACATAAATGTGGTCAAAAGCAGTCAATAGGTATCACTGGGTTTAGGGACCACCTCCCCCCAACTCTCTCCACACACCACCAAGGCCAGAGATAATTACTGACCACATTTGTTCACCAGTAATAATATCACTTGCCAAATTTTGACCCATACATGACCCCAAATTGGAACATTTATTGACATGGAGAAAATCACTTGTGTAGCATTGTGTCCATTTTAGACAATCTGCAATTTTCCTCCCAACGTTCAAAGCCTGCCTCACAACTTACCTCTTTGACCTCACATTTCAGCCATCCCCATCCTTTCAGTTCCCACCCCCTCGCTCAGGTGCCCACAGCCAGCAATGGAGAAGCGCTTTGATACATCCTCCCCATGTGAGAAGCCCTGTATAAATACAAGTTGTACTGCACTGTGTTTTAATGCAATACTCAAATAAATAAATATTAACCCTCTGCAACCTAAGAAAAATTCTAAACTACTTCATCAGCAATTCATGGGCCGGAAAACACAGCTTGTTCAGCTCTGTCACAACGTAATGGATTATGTTGATCACTGAGCTCATTTGCAAAGTTCACAAGTGTAAACTATTTGAAATAGATCACTGTTTGCAAGTCTGCAGTGATGAAGCAATATCTCATGGAATGTCCTACCCAAGAAAGTATAAATTAGTATTAGTATGCTTTGTCTTTTAATCTTTAAATATCAAACTATTGCAAGACTCCTTACACTTTGTGCTTTGAAAACTGGACTTACGGTCATTTATGTACCTGAAACATAAGTCTGTAATGATGACTTTAGTAACCAAATAAACATCAAAGTTTGTGACTACACATCAGTTAATAACGTAAGGATATTGGGAGAACGTAATACAGAACACTGTGGGCTGAAAGACTGATCTCCCACAGACAATATCCAATATTTTAAGTTTCCTTCCTCCTCCTCCACAGTGTATTGTTTCCAACCTTGCACATGGCTATTTTTAAATAACACATACTCTACTTTAAGTTCACTGACATTTACTGTGTTTATTTACAGTACAATGGAAATAATTACTTTCTCAAACACACACAAAGCACATTCTCAAATTCAGGCCTGTAGTCTGCATGTTAGCCTACTACCAAAACAACATTAGGCAGAACATGTGCAACGCACCACTGTTCATTAAAACCAATGCTGGACAAACCATTGTATTATGTTATGCCAGATTGTAAAATTAATTTTTTTCATCAGTTTAATCATTTAAACATTTTTTTATTTGTGAAGCGTGGCCTTTTCTACTGTAAACTGTAGGTACCAGAATTAACTCAGGCTTGCACTTCCCTACCTATCCAGCCTGCTTACCCTCCACTCCACCACCGACTACCTCCGTTCGCCTCCTGATTGTCCTTCGTTCCACCATCGATGGCCATGCCTTCAGCCCCGAAACTCTGGAACTCTCTCCCTCAATCTCTCCAACTTGACCCCTCCCTCCCCACCTTCAAATCCTGCTAAAGCCTTCCTCTTTGATCATGCTTATGGTCACCTCCCCCTCCCTCTCCCCCTGGTTTGTTGGCAGACTCTGTCACTATGAAGTGCTCCGGGATGTTACCTCACGTGAAGGGCGCTATATAAATGCAAGTTGTTGTTGTATCTTTCTGTTTTGACAATCTCACATTTGATTGAGTGAGGTGAAATTGCATTTTGACTTGCATTTATCGTGCTGAGTGTGTGTATACAGTGTCGCTTTAACTTTTATTTGCCTTTCTCAATGTGTTGCACTGACACTGACTGGAACTGCTTTTGTAATTAGTCGTTGCCAGCGGTCAAAAACACATTTGAAAAGCACACAATACCTGCACCAAAATTTACTTCATTTGGACATTCGTATTGGGGAAATAAGTAACTCACTATTCTCCCAGAACAAAGAGATATCAATGAATGAGAGGAGCATCAAATCTATGGCCTACAGTCACTATACAGAGCAGCTTCACTACACTTACTTTAACAGGGAGAAAGAAAGACAGTGATGTTCTAGGCGAAAGAAGTCTAAGATCAATCTAGTTCGCATTCCACCATTCTGGCAGTTGCTTAATTGACATGTCGTGTCCCAAACTATATACTGTATCCTGAGATATTGTTTTATAGCAGAAATCTATCTAATTTATTCTTGAAACAAACAACATTTTCAGCTTCCAGTTTCCCTAGGCTATTCCATAAATTTACTACTTGTTCACTGATGTAGCGGGACGTCCTCCTGATGTGTAAGGAGCTATACAAATGTATTTTGTTGTTGTTGTTATTTCCGCAGATTTGTTCTGAATTTACCCCCCCTTTCAATCGCAGGCTGTGTCTTCTGGTTCTACTGTTCAGTACAAGATAACAACAACAACAATAACTTGGATTTATATAGCGCCCTCCACGCCGGACTGCATCGCAGAGCGCTTCACAGTAATGGATACCAGGACAAAGCCAGGGGGAGGGGGAGGAAGGTGACCAAAGGCTTAAAAAAAGGATAAAACAGCTTATCGTGATCTACATTATCTATTCCCTTCAGAATCTTAAAGACCATAACCATATCAGCCCTCAACCTTCTCTTCTCCAGTGTGAACATGCCCAGTTTATCTAATCCCTCCTCGTAGTCCAGTCCATCCATCCCCTCCATCATTTTGGTTGCCCTCCTCTGTATCCTCTCAATTGCTGCAATATCCTTTTCATATTGCGGTGACCAGAACTGCACACAGTATTACAAGTTCAGTTGCATCAGTGATTTATAAAGTGGCAGGATTACCACACTATATTGGCTTAATATTGCCCTCTTAATACAGCCCAGCATCTGGTTTGCCTTACTCACTGCTACCGACCAATGTTGGGATAGCTGCATTTTATTATCAATCAGGTCCTTTCCATTTTCCGCTAAAAAATATTTGTTACCATTTAAATAATAGTTCCTTCCTGGATTTTTTGTCCCCATGTGAAGCACTTTACATTTCTCTTCATTAAATTTCATCTGCCATCAATCTGCCCTTTCTCCTTCTTTAAGAGATGCAAACAATTTTGACTGCTTCAAATGTTTCTGCGGTCGATTTGGTTCAAAAGACCCTCATATTTGAGCCTTAAAATGATTGTCATAAAATGTACGACCAAACAGAATTTTGGAAAATCACTCAAATTCGGTCTTAATTTGAAAGCTGTTTTTCTGCAGTTCTTTAGCGGAAATCTGGCTTCCAAATTTTGACTGAATTTAAGAATTTTACATAATTCTGCCCTTTTTTCGAAAACAATGGTCTTAATGCTAAAACTTAAGGATAAAACTAAGGACTATTACTGTACTGGTGGTGTGTTTATCCACAAGGTCAATTATTTTACCAGTTCGTCTAAATGAAACTCTTAAAAACTATTATCACTCTTTTATCAAAGCACATAGGATGGTTTTACGCTCCCCTTTAGGAATGGATGTGTGAGAACCTTAGTAAACACGAACATAGCTGATAAAAAAAATATTGCTGTTACTACTGTACCTCATTTCCTCTCTCTCGGGCTGAGCAGGACTCACTGTCCCCTTCTGAAAAAGATCCAGATTCATCGCTGGAGTTAGTGACATAGGACTGTTCACACTTCAATGGAGGTTTACACGGTCTGTACATTGCGTTTGCCATCACGCCCAGCTCTTGCTGCTCTCCAGACAGGAAGCGCGTTCCTTGCGAACAGGGGGAAGTGGACAACTCAAATTGGGGCAGACTGCAAGGAGAACCACCGCTTCCATCTTCAGGAAAGGAGTAGGAAGAACAGGAGCTGGAGGTTCGGGTCCTAGTTTCAGGAGGAGACCTGGGGCACACTTTAATTGGCACTGGGCAGCTGGTATTACAGTTAGGCCGAATTCGACACTGAAATGGTGATAATGGCTCCATAGAAAGTCCAGCAGGAGCACAAGTCTGTGAACATGGAAGTGACTGGCTCGTACCACTCCACAAACCCTTTGACACTCGCTCAGTAAGTTCTTTCTCTAGCGAGCTCCCACCAGGATATGAATGTGAAGCAGGAGCAGTCGTCCTGTCCAAGGTACCGGAAGAGAAGATGACACTTTTTCTGTCCGATTCCAATTCCTGTTTGCAAATAACTTCACAAGATGGTGCTGTCAAAGGAGATCCAACAGCAAAGCCACTGTTCTCTTTCTGAGGTGTGCAGGACAGTCCATAGTTTTCACTGTAAGGCCTGTATTCCATTTTGAGGTCACCCTGAGTTATTCCTTTTTCCAGGGAACAAGATGTTCTGGTGTCAAAAGATTGCTGCAGTGAGCTTCCGCTCCCAACAGAATCTACATCTTTCTTTCTAGTGAACCTTGAGCAAGGAGGCGATCTGCTTTTAGGCCGACCAACACACATTGGACTCAATTGCTTTACATCTATTTCCATATCTGCAAGCCCCTGCTTCTTGGTGTCTGTGCCACTTCCAGACAGGACAATAGGCTTTTCTCCTTCAATTTCCAGTGGGTGGGGTTCAGATTTTATCTGTGCCTTGCTTTGGGCATTGACTGACTGGTCTTTAAATGTGCTTGGAAAACCTGAGGTACTGGTATGTGGTATGCTATTGATATGCTTGGTGCAAGCAAGCTGGTATTTCCTGTATTTTGGGCAACGACCCATATCGATCACATCCCTGTCAATCTCCTCCTCCACATCGTTTGATGCAACAGGGATGGATATAACAGCTGGCTCTTTCTCAGACAGCCTGCTAGAGGTGTCAAAATCAAGGGTCTCTGTGCATATTCGTTCTCTTGAGCAGGTAATCTTGTGAGTCTCAGATTGCATCTCCTCTTCCTCCTCGTCCTCAGAATTCCCATCTCCCTGTGCATTTGATCGTTGGCAAGTTGACATTTTGGTGTAGAGAAAGAAACCATCCTTCTCATTAAAGAGCTGGGCCTCCAGGAAGCGAAAGCAGGAGTCCTCCAGGTTGTGCATGCGCAGAACCTCAGCACAGTACATGACCTCTTGGATGTTGTCTCTGCTGAGTAATAGCTTAGCAGTGTAGGCAAACTGCAACAATGGGCTAAATCCTCTGGCGGTGACCTGCAAAAACAGGGAAATTGCCAGCATTACCATTAGCCGTGCTATTGTCCAAAACACTTCGAGTGTGGTTAGGTTTTCTGACAGTTCTAATGGCCATTAACAAACATTGAAAAGTACCAGTTAATCTTTCATTGGGTCAGCACTGAACATTCCACACTTCTATCTGCTTTGGAAAGCAGGAACCACTGCCTGTTGGCTCGCGGAGCTAATAGGCTTTTGATTTCCAAAATGCTGCCTCTGTTTCAGCAAAATTATGCAAAGTACTTAAGATTTATTATTACACTTACTCTCCTGACAATGCTGCAAAACTGCAGAAGCTGCTTCTGAGATGCACATTTAGCATTTCACATTAGGAGGATCACAATGTAATTTTTGTACTGGGATGTAAAGTGTTCTCACCCCAGTGACCCCACGGTGGAGTGTCAGAACTCACAACTAGAGGGCTGCAAATCCGCCTCACACACACAGTTGTTTAAATTCAGTCTGGGCTTCCGTCGTCAGCTATCATCAGGGACTCACTTTGCTGGAATGCTGTGCAAAGAATTGGCAGAGCTGTTTGACTGATGATCCGCAGAGGTGGCTGTCTAGTCAGCTGATAAAGTGCAATTTGCTATTGCCCATAGAGAAACCCATAGCTCAGACCGTCTCATCAGGCCAGACTGACTCACTAGTCCAGACCACATCTTATTAGCCCAATCTGTCTCACTAGCCCAGCTAGACTAACAAGAGAAATTTCTCCTGGATCCAGATTTACTCTATTTGCTTAACATTTCAGAACATCCGCAAACTAATAATAATATTCCTTGTGTTTGATTTAGTGGCTTAAAAAGGTCATCAAAAGATCTCAAACTAATTTACAGAATTCTATATTTGTAGGTGAACATCGTAGTCAATTTGTGTACAGCAACATCCCACAACAGCCATGATATGAATAGCCTATTTTATCTGGCGGATTGTTGGGCAGGACACCTGGAAGAACTCCCTTTTGTTTTTGAATAGTGCTATAGGATCTTTAACATTCAATTGAAAAGGCAAATGGGAACTCAGTTTAACGACTCGCTCAAAGTACAGCACCTCTGACAATGCAATTTTACAAGTTCTGCAGGTTCTTCTGCAAGTTCTTTCAAAGACTACTGCAAATGGGTTTGAAAGTAAAGAATGGGTTCAAAAATATACCAAAATCTAGATACTCTGAAGTGTTGTGTAAATAGAATAAATCTAGACCCAGGTCGAATTTCCATAAGTGTGAAAAGTAGCAGTGGTGAAAAACTACCTTTTTAAAAAATATATATATTTATAATATAAAACCAACTATGCCTCTGTTTTTGCAAGAGAGATTTTTAATTACATATTATTAAAAAGTCTCAGTTTCTTTTTAATTATAAAATAGAAGTAAAAGGGGCATCTGAACTGCAGTGTTTCTTAATGGGACCCCTTGATAAGGATCCGAGACATGAAAGTGGGGATATCTGTAGTGGCAGATGTTCTAATCTGAACATTAGAACATAGCACAACAGTTTAGTTCATTGGTACTTATCCCACTACCAGTAAGATTGTTTGGTAAGGACACCTGCAGTTCATATCACCTTTCATCACTGAACACATAAAACTAAATACATGATATTATTACATGACCCAGATAGCCTATGCAATACCACTTTTTATATGTTGTTACACTAGTTTGATAAAAATGAGACCTCGTAACATGCCATGATTTATGTTTGCTGGTCTACATTTTCCAGAGTTTTTTTTAAAATTAAAATGGTTATAATTTGGAGTAATTTAATTGGAGTCTAGAATAGTATGTACATACATGAATGGAGAGAATGAGCAACAGCCGCAATTCAAATCATAAATCTAGACACAAAATACCAGATGTATAAAGAGTAAAACATTTTTTAAACTTGCTATGAACAGGTAAACAATACACAGAGTTTCTTTCCACAAGAAAACATTCTGCATTTATGGATTATATTCAGTTCAGTGGAATAATAATAATCCTTACATTTGATATATAACCTTTCACATCGGGAACATGTCTCAAAGCTCTTCGAAGGGTTCACTGTAAAGTGTGTATTTTGAAAGAGAATGCAGCAGCCAATTTGCACAGAGCAATTTCCCACAATAGCTATGAAGCGAACAGACAGTCAGAATCTTGGTTTAGTCTCATCTGAACGTTGGCACCTCCAATGCAGCACTCCCCAGCACTACATTGGAGTGCCAGCCTAAACTGTATGAACTCCTAGTCCAAACATGTGGCTTGAACCCACAACTTTGTGACACAGAGATGAGAATGCTATCAACTGAGCCTGAAATGGCTCCTCAGCTAGCTTTTAAAAAGCTTGGAAATCAGGCTGAACACTCGCCCTAATGTCACTGAGCTAGAACATAAAAATACAAACAATATCATCCCTGAGTTTAAACTCCTACTGTAAAATTATCTAAACAAAGGAGTCATTCAATTCAAACACAAAAAAATCTACTGCTAATAATGCAATTTAAACAATAAAACTGATGCTTTATTACTCTTTCCCCAACAACTAGTTTGCCCAAATGTGAGACGTCCTCAGCCTAACAGCCCTGTATGAAAGCATCAGAGACAGGAACTGTCTCCTGCTCTCAGCTTTATGGTCATTCTCTTAAAATGTAAGATTTAAATACCCAATTTAATAATTTTTCAAAATTCTCCACAACTTACTGCTTGCAAATATTGGATTGTGAAATTCTCAACAGGCAATTTGTTAATCCCAAGCCAGCCAGGACAGCTGGTGAACGAGATACTGGTGATAAATGGGTAGGGTTTTACTCAACAGTCTGATTTGGGACTTTACCCACTGAGAATCACAATTGGCCAGCTAGGACATTTACAATCCATAGAATCATAGAAGTTTACAGCATGGAAGAAGGCCGTTCGGCACATTGTGTCAATCGTATCATATGCTGTTACTTTGGTTTGATAAAAATGAAATCTTGCAGTATGCCGTAATTTATGTTAAAGTTGATCTGTCTATCAAGTGGACTATCAATCTGATACCCCAAACTGGAAGTCACAAATAAGGCAATGCATAAGCTTTGCAGCGGCGTTTAGATCATGGTGTGACTTAAAATACACAAACATTGATCATTGCAAGGATAATGATAATAATAATCCTTGCATTTGATATAGCACCCTATCATGCTGTTGAGACGTCTCAAAGCGCTTCAGATAGCGGATAGCTTGAAAGCACTTAGGTTACTGCAACATGTTTTCTTCTTCTTCAATCCTACGCCCAAAAGAAAACATTGAGCTGCTCCAATCTTTCTTTATTTTGTCCTCTTGCATTGAGTTGTTGCTCTTTAAATGAAGATATGAACAAACTAGCATCTTCAAGCTATGTTAAACCCAATCCAAACATCAGTCTAGTTGGAAGTTTATAGCATCCACCTTTATCAGTGGTAAGTGAAGAGAGAACTGTACCCTATTACTAATCTGTTACCCTGAAGAGCGTATTACACTATGCCAAAGGCACTCCTTATATGACCACTTCTGGCTCCCATTCCCTTCAATTCTGGCTCTCATTCCCTTCAATTCTGGCTCTCATCCCCTTCACTTCTGGCACTCTACAGACTGTCTGCTCCACATGATTCTGGGCCTCCATTGACAGTTGAAAGATGCAGACTGAGCAACGATTCAGCGCTGTGCCCTTGTCTTTGTCCTCGCTCCAAAAATATAAGACAAGGGAATGCTGTTAGAAAACAGAATTTCTATACATGCTTCCCATCACTCCATGGTGCACAGCATTATAGCAGGTCCCTAAGTATTTGATTAATAAGGATCCCCTACCAAATATACAGTCAATTCACTTACATTATATCCTGTGAAGCGCTTTGAGACGTCTCAAAGATGTGATAAGGTGCTGTATCAAATGCAAGGATTATTATTAAGGATTGTAGCCCTTGCCAAAAAGACAGTGAGGAAAAATACATGAAATCAAGGAATAAGAAAAGCCTATTTGGTTCATCATCTCTCACTCCTTCCACCACTGCATCAAATTGCACTCATATAGCGCCTTTCACATTGGTGCATATCCTAACACTCAAGGGTTTACCCTTGAAATGGGGGTTGGATGCGGGAAAGGTGGGGCCAAAGGGGTGGGGTTGCGAAGATGACCGAAGGGGTGGTCAACGAGGAAGGTTTTGAGATGGGCCTTGAAGGAGGCGAGAGAAAGGCTGAGCTGAAAGGACTCCTGAATGGAGTTCTAGGAGTGGGGCAGAAAGGCTGAAGGCCCGACTGCCGATGATGGGGCTGGCAGGACAGGGGGATGTGAGGCAGACCAGTGCCTGCCAAGCGAAGGAAGTGGGCAGGTTGGTAGGGTTTCAGAAGGTCGGAGATAGGGTGGGACAAGATCGTAGAGGGATTTAAAAGCTCGGACGAGGATCTTGAACTCGATCTTCTGGATGGTGGGATGTCAGTGGAAGTTAACCCCATGTCTTCGGATGACATCGCCGAGCGGGAGGAGCCAGTTACTTAAAGGAGAGGATCAAAGAGAGAGCCGTGAGGATTGCCACACCTGACGGTGCGGGATCTGGAGGAGAAGCTGTTGGCAGATATGAAGTGGAGACATTGGTATTGGTATGAATGAAACCAGTAAAGGACAGAACCAAGAAGATGGAGCTTAGAGGAAAGACGGTGGAGAAGAATAGAATGTTTGATAGTGTTGAAGGAGGGAAGAGAGGTCAAGAAGGTCGAGTAAGCAGTGATAGCCCGAGTCACAGATAGAGAGAGAAGCGAAGATGACTCGTTCTAGTACCTTGGAGAGGAAAGGAAGGTGCTTCCGAATTTTTCTGTAAATGTAGTGACTGAACGTTTGTACTCAAATGAGGTACCGTAATGTCCCACAAACAGCCATGAAGTGAACAACTTTTTTTTATTGTTGGTCAGAACACAAGGAGAAACTCTCAACTATACCATACAGAAAAACACACATAAGTTGTATCAGTCAGGGCCATGACATTTTATA